ACACACACACACACACACACACACACACACACACACACACACACACACACACACACAACACACACACACACACACACACACACACACACACACACACACACACACACACACCACACACACACACACACACACACACACACACACACACACACACACACACACACACACACACACACACACACACACACACACACACACACACACACACACACACACACACACACACACACACACACACACACAACACACACACACACACACACACACACACACACACACACACACCACACACACACACACACACATACACAACACACCACACACACACCACACACACACACACACACACACACACACACACACACACACACACACACACACAACCACACAACCACACAACCACACAACCACACAACCACACAACCACACAACCACACAACCACACAACCACACAACCACACAACCACACAACCACACAACCACACAACCACACAACCACACAACCACACAACCACACACACACACACGCGCACTACCCCCAATGATCCGTCGGCGCAGGAGGGCTAGTGAGGGGCTCTAAACTACCGTGTGGACGGCGCTGGAATAGGCACTATGCTAAACCATAAGCCCGACGAAGGGCGAGCAAAGGCAGGTGGGTATCTTCGTGCCCCAGCCCCGCCCCTACGCGCCCTCCAGCAGGAGGACGGCTCTGTAAGGGCGGCCCCCCCCCCCCTCCCCTGAGGAGGGCGGGGGCCACAGCCTCCCCACTAGAAAAGCATTCACACCGAAACGCGTAAGGAAAATAATATATCTGACCACTATTGGCAGGGGCCCCTATGAGCTCTGGAGCCCAACATGGTTCAAACGCAGTAGAAACATGTTAGCGCCTCGGCCTGTTCAGCGACAGAGATGTATGTGACAACTTACTACACTACCCTCGAAGACCTCCGGGGATCAGAACGACCGAACAAGTCAGTGAGGGGCCGCTGCCTCGGAGGAGGGGCGGGGGCGGGGGGAGGGGAGGGGAGGCCAGGAGGGGGGGGGAAGGAGGGCGGAAGGCGCAGGCTCAGAAGCGAAAGACTCAGGAGAACAAGCTTGGGAAGTCGCCCTCGTGGCACCCGGGCTCGCCCTCGGCCTGCCTTCCGCCAGCTTCCGCCGGCGGAGGCGGCTTTCTTTTACTTCTTCCGCCTTTCGCGGGCCTTCCGCCGAGGAAGAGATGCCAACTTCCCGATCCCTCGAAGGCGAGACCCTTTCTGGAGCGCCCTGTCTGTCAAGTTTGCCATCGAACCTGCGCTTACGGTCGTCGTGCTACCACGAGGAACTCTGAATACGGACGAGGTCCTCCGCCCCAGGGGGGGGGGTCCCAGGGGAAGTCCTTTTCTTCCTTCTCCTCCTCCTCCTCATCCTTATCTCCGCCTCCTCCTCCTCCTCCTCCTCCTCCTCCCCCTCCTGGTCGTCGTCGATGTCTTTCAGGGTCGGCGGCACCGGCCGTCAGGCCTTCACAAGAAGGACGACGGGGCGATCCTGGCCACGGTGAGCCTCGGCCATGAAAAGGCCCCCCGTCCAAGACGGACGAGGCGGCCCGCAATCCGGAGCCCCTTCTGACCCGAGAGTGGTCATTCGGGGGGAACGAAAGGGGGGGGCTAGCAAAGTCTAGGGTAGAGAATCGGCTCACGTAGCTGACTTTCCCAGCGCCTCCCGGCGCCGGGAGGCGCTCATGTATCGAGGAATGGGCCCGGCGGCGGGGCCGAAAGCAGCTGCACGCCGCAGATTTCGTACCCCCCCCTTTCCCCATCCCCCCCCTTTTCGTTCGGCACGAACTGCACGTTTCGAACTTGCCATGGAGTCTCGGGTTGCGGATGGGAGCTCGTGCCTGGCGTGTCGCGGCGGCGGCCCTGGAGACGCGCTGTGCTCCGCGAGCGGGCAGCGTGTCGTTCCGCGACGGCGGGTGGGCGGCTGGGAGGAAAGCCGAAGCGCCGAGGAATGATGCGTGGGGACTGGGACGCGCCTCGCGTGTCGCGCCCCGGAACGTGGTGGTCCAACACCGGCGGCGCGCCACGCGATGCAAGCGGTGCTGAATGCAAGCTGGGGCCTCGGACTCTCGGATCCTCAGATGGATCTCGCCGTCCTCTGTTTCGGGCGGGGAGCCCGCCAACTTGCGGGCTCCAATTCTTGCCGCCACTCTCACAAGCTGGGCCACGGGACGGTTGGAATACGGGTGCTCGGCACCGCCAGGCTACAGGCCTCTGCCTTTCTGGTTGTTGTTCAAACGCCCCAGGCAAGCTCAGAAACTGAGGTCAGAAACTGCTGCTGAGCGTGTCGCAGCGGCGGCCACGGCGACACGCAATGCTGTGCGATCTGATGGCGTGTCGCCCTGCTCCGTGGGGCGGGAGGCCGGGAGAAGCTCGTTACCAGCCTGGAACATATCCCTATCCCTATGCTGGGCACCTCCTCATCACGATGCCACTCTTAGGGATTCCCTTGTTTTTCGAGGGCGAATCCCTAAGATTGTCATCGCCTTTTGGCGTGTCAATCTTAGGGATAGGGATACGTTCGAGGCTGGGAAGCTCGGGACGCTGACGCCCGGGGATCTGGGACGCGGATGGCGTGTCGCGCCGAAGCGCAGTGGGCCAGAGCCGGCGGCGCGACACGCTATAAGCCACAGTTCTCGACCGTGTTCCCGATGCCCGAGCGTGCTGCCTGTCGATCGCTCGCTGCTGCCGTCTCTGCTGCCATGGTGGAAGGAGACTTCGTTCTGCCAAGCCTCGGTCCCCGCCCCGCCGCCCCTCCCGAGTCCAGGCAGCCCTCCAGGTGGAGGTGGTAAAACAGGTTCTTGCCTGGCTGAGAGGGAAGCGAGCCCACCTTGCTTTTGACCACCCTCGCTTCCAAACGGGGACCACACGTTACCGAGCTACCCGTCGGGTTGCCCGCAACGTTCAGGCTGGTTGACGAGAAGCATGGTATGATTTGATTTTGCCTGGAAAGCAATGCAGGATAGGTAATCCACCTTCTGCTGCATCCTCCGCGGACCTTGTCTGTCCCGTCGCGGTCCGGGCCGCGTCAAATCCGTGTCGAATCCATGTCGGACTCGTCGGATGCGTGTCGAACCCGTGTCGAATCCACGCCAAATCAGCGTCGCGTCCGTATCTAGCCCGCGTGGGCAGAAGAAAAGACGCCAATTTGGGGGACAGGCGAGGTCCCCCGAAAGTGCAACGTCATTCACCCTCGGAGGAACCCGTTCTTCCCCTATTCGGGGAGGGGTCTGCCCCTCCACCTGCCCCTCCCCTGGGTCTGGACCCGCAGGGGAGGGGTCGCGAGGGGTTATGTAGTCCAAGGTGGCTCAAGTATGGCACCCGGTGCGCCAAGATGGCCTCCAAGATGGCGCAAGATCGCCGAAGATCGTTCATGATATCCGCTGACATTCCTCCTTCATGATATCCTCTGACATTCCTCCTCCGAGGCCCGACGACGGCTCCAAGTGCCCTCGGAGCTCTCCAACGAACTTTCCAAAATGCCCAAATCGACCCCCCCCCAATCTTGAGGGCATCCGTGATTTGTGCTCTCTCGCCTTTTCGCTTCCGACGGGCCTCTGATGCTTCAAGATGGCTCCGAGATGGCCCCAGAGCCCAACAGGGGCTCCAGAAGGCCCCAAAACGGCCCCGAGATCCCAAGAGCGCCCAAAGAGCGCTCCAATAGGGTCCCAATGGGGCAAATGTTCGGCCTCCGAGGAAGGGAACCTTTTCGAACCATGGGGCCCAAGAACTCCCCAAGGGGGCCGCAAGACCTCCCCCCAACTAGAAGGCCCCGCGACCCCCCGAACGAGCCCCAAGAAGGTTCCACGGAAACCCCAAGATGGCTCCACGAGTCCGAAAAGAGACTCTCACAAAGGACGATCCACGAAGGGCTCCTCCTGCTCCTCCTCCTCCTCCTCCTCCGCCTCCTCCTCCTCCTCCTCCTCCTTCTCGTTCTCTCATCATGTTCCTCCTCCAACCCTCCACCCTCCCCCTTCTCATAAGATGGCTGCAGGATGTCTCTACGAGGCTCCTAAGGCAACTCGCCTGGGCATCGGTTCTGGATGACATGAGCTCGCTGCTGCATGGGCATTTCCGTCGTCAGTTGGACTCGGCTCGCGCAGATCCTTCTTGGCGGATGTTTCACTGCACGCTGTTACACTTCGTTGATCTAGGCAAGACGCCTGGGCATAGTCTCTGCAGGGGCTGGTGGGGATACGCGACGCGTCAGCCATTCTGACGCCCTGCTTCCTGGGCCATCATGACACCGAAGAGGAGTGAGCAAGGGAGATGGAGGAGGCCGAATGGGGTGTGTGCAAGAGAACGAAGAGGGAAGCACGAAGAGGTGGATGGGGGGGGGGCACGACTCGCTGGCCCTCTGCCCCCTTCAACGGTGTGACCGTCGCGCTCCCGAAACGCAGGAACACGTTGGTCGCGATGTCGCACCGCCTGCCAGCGGAGCGCGCCACAAGAAAGGGGGTGCGGGCCGGGGTCGCGTCGCGATGATGTCGACTTTGGTTTCCGACATCGCGTGGGTCGCTTGACTTTGAACGATCGCGGCGTTCCGACACGGAACTCGTTCTATATTGGCTGACTCTGAAACCCTCTGGCTGCGTTCAACCCTTATCACCCGCACAGGAGTCGCCGCCACATCAATGCGGCGCAAATCCGTTGTAGGGCGACGGGGGAGTGGCGGCCTTTTGCCAGCAGATCTGGGCACCGCAACACAAAGACGGTGACAGCGGGTTCTTCGACGTTGCCTAGATACCGTTTCTCAGCAACCTGGGGGGCCATCAATCATCGACTGGGGATATGACGTGCCCTGGGAACTTGGCTGAAGCAAAGTGTGCCGGAGGAGAGGGAGTAATGCAACCCTGCCTCTTGAAAGGAGAGGGGGCAGCGCAGCTCTTAGGGATCTCTGAGAAAGGACAGAGGGACTCCTAGGAAGACCCCCTGCCACCTTGGCAGGCCGCCTCCATTACCGAGCCCCAGACCTCCGGCTCTTCCTCCTGCTTGCTGGCTGCCGGCCCTCAGGTCTCTCGACCCCTTCCCAAGGACACAACTCTCGTCTCGCGGCGTTCTTTGAGGGGGGCCCCGAACAACTTCCCGGAGGTGAGAGATTCACGAACACCTTCGGCGACAACGTTTGCCGACTCGCCAAGCCACGATCCAACTCCGCTCACGAGCTGCATCCGGCCGAGGCCACAAGGACCCCTCCAGGAGACTTAAAAAGGTGGCAACACCTGGAAATCCGAATGACAGTACGTGCATCGGATCAAGATCCAATCGCTGTAAAAGCCTGGGGGGGATTTATCCACCACCGTGCCCCTGGCACAACGGGGCCTACCAGAACGCCAAGCGCTGTTTGGTAGGGCTTCTGTGATCTTCTAAGGACCCGCCCCTCTCTCGTCACGCTGGCACGCGCGCATCGACCCCCCCCCTCCCCGAGGCTCTTTCGGCGCTCAGACGGGTCCCTGGCTTCCACCAAGATGGCCAGGCAGGCCACCAAGGCCGCCAAGATGGCCCAAGATGTCTCCACGATGACCCAAGATGGCCCCAAGACGCCCCAAGATTGCTTCAGGACTGCCCAAGACGCCCTCCAGACAGCTCAACGAGAATTCTTAGCAAGGGCCAACGATGCTACTGCCTTAGTTTGACTTTCAATTTCTCGCGTTCTCGTCTTTTCGTTTTCGGTTTTCCGCCAGCTCAAAATGGCTCCAGAGGCCTCCAAGATGGCCTTACGACGACCCAAGACCACGTCAAGAGAGCCCGAGAGGCCTCCGAGACGGCCTCAAGGCGGCCCAGGACACACCCAAGAGAACCTCAAAGTGGCCCACGAGGGCCTCCGGAGGGACCCAAGACTGCCTAAGATGACCCCTGGACGGCGCCAGCTGGCCTCACGACGGCCCAAGGGTCCCCCAGCACGGCCACGAGCGCCCCGAGAGAGTCCCAAGACGGCCCAAGAGGGACCCAAGACGGCCCCGAGCCCGAAGGACCCCCAAGACCGCCCAACAAGAGCCCAGGACAGCACCAAGACTGCCCAAATAAGGTTCATGAGAGCTCGTCGAGAAGTGAAGACGAAAGGTGCCACACGTCACGTTTCTCCTCTACCTCCTCCTCCTCCTCCTCCTCCTCCTCCTCCAAGTCCTCCTCATCATCACAATCAGTATCATCATTCCCACCACCGTCCTCATCATCGCTTTCATAATCCCCATCATCGTCACCAACACCACCATCCCCATCCCCATCCCCATTCCCATCCCCACCATCAATGCCACCATCACCATCGCCGTCACAATCACCGTCAACGCCATCATCATCATCATCATCATCATCATCATCATCATCATCATCATCATCACCATCATAATCATCGTCATCATCAGCATCAAGATCACCATCGCAATCACCATCACCATCATCAGCGTCATCATCAATTACTTCATCCTCCTCCTCCTCCTCATCATCATCACCACCATCACCATTACCATTACCATCACCATCATCACCAGTATCATCATCATTCTCATCATCATCGAGATCAACACCAACATCGTCATCATCATCACCAGCATCAACAACATTACCATCATTTCCATGATAACCATCATCTTCATCATCATTACCGTCATCAGCATCATCAACATCAACAACATCACTATCGTCACCATCATCATTATCATCACCGTTATCACATTATCAACACCATCATCACCATCGCCATCACCATCATCACCACAAGCATCATCATCCACATCAACATCAATATCAACATCATCATCAACATCATCATCAGCATCACCGGCATCATCATCATCGTCATCGTCAGCATCATCAGCATCAGCATCATCAACATCATCAGCATCAACAGCATCAACATCGTCAACATCATCGTCGTCGCCGTCCTCATCGTCGTCGTCGTGAACGTCGTCTTCAAACCCCTCCCTCGCCTCATCGTCCTACTCCGCTATATGAGTGAATCACGGCATGCAAGGTGGGACAGAAACGGCGGAGGCGCGTCACATGCGGCACCTGCTGGCGTTGCCCGAGCGGTCGCCGCAACGCGTCCTGGGTCAGGCCAGGCAAACCCAACACCCAACGATGTGTCACATGTGACAGCTTTCTGGGTTCGCTCCAACCGTCGTCACAATGAGTGCATCTATCGCCGCTCGAGGTGTCACCCGTTAGGGCCTCCCGTCCCCGTCTCACGACCACCGAGAATGCTGTGCTAGCACGGTGGCGGGACTTGTCACAGGCAGCTGTCTAACGGTCGTCGATGCTCGCGACTGGGGTCGAACCTTCGCCGATCATCGAATTTCATGCTTGGGGGGTCCCGCGGCTTCTTCTGTGGGTCCCTGGGGCCGTCGAGAGTAAGAAGAAATGCTCGTTGGGCACCTGCTGGCAGGCCTGGATGCCCCCGATCCTGATTATTGGATACTGGAATTTTCCAGTCGCGACCGACGAGATTGGCCGCTGCCGACTTTGCTTCAAACTCTGCTATCGGCCGCGACCCACCTGCTTCAACATTGGTCGCGACCGATGGGCCGCGACCGATTTCGGAGTCGGTCGCGATCGGTCGCGACCGACTTGCAGCGCACTGGTCGCAACCGAAGAAAACATGGTATCCAATGATCTGGGCAACATTTGCGTCTTGCTTTATTTGGACGCCCGAAACGGGTCAATTACGGACATGCGTGTGTACGATGCCGAACAGCAACTGTTATCAAACACCGACAGCGGCCAAAATTGGGCAGGCGGCCTTCTGTCTACAATGGAAAACGTCCGCGGCGGTACCGACAACGGCTTCTGTTCAAATTGGACAGGACATGCTGTCAATCGTTGTGCCCACTCTTTCCGCACCAATTTCGATCGTACCGATCCTGAGCCCAAGGCCCATTCGGCGTGCGCCCCCGCTCGGCCGCCGAACGGGCTCGATCGAGCGGGACCGCTCGGTGGCCCCAACGGGCTCGGATGCCGAGCGGGCTTAGAATGTTCCCCCCCCAGACCCTTGGACTCAGGAGGAAGCCTACGAGCCCATCCTCCCGACGCTGTGCTATTTTCCTTCACTGCGTGCCCCTCTGGAGGTCTCGGCCCACTCCCCAGGGCGGGCTTTTCGCCCTTGATTATGTTGTTCCCGTCGTACTTGAGGAACACATCCCAGAACTCATGTCGAGCACCCAGAGCAGTATCGAAACATTGTATGCCCGACACGCTAGCGCAGTGTCAACCGACTGTCGCCTTCCACGGCCCGACACATGAAAACCCCACAGTGTCGGTCCTTCCCTGGTGCTAGATTTTTTCCTGGGCTGCAGAAAAGAGGGCCGCTACGGGGGCCCTCTAGGACCCAAAGGGGGAGCCCACAGGGCCGGGGAGGTGGACTTTTCTCCCCCTCCAGTATATTGCGCCCCGTTTAGCGGCGCCCATCAGTTGCGACCACATGGCAAGACTGGAGCCATGGAGCCCTAGAGACTTCTCTTCCTGCGGCACTCCTCGAGCCAGATCGATCCGCGAGGGTTGGGCGTCGCTTCGTGCGGGGGCGATGCATGCATGGGGGGGAGGAAAAGGTGCCCTCTTCGGGTCCTACAGGCCCCCCCCCGTTGGGGCTCCGAAGGGCCCCTCGAGGGGCCCTTTCTCTGCAGCCCTCGCTGCCCCCCGACTTCTCGCTCTCCCACTGCGCGACGCCCGACTCCCTGCGGCATGCCTCGAGCCGCATCGATTCGCGAGCGCCCCCGGGGCCCGAAGCGCCGGGCGACGACGCCCGGGCAGGAAACCCTGCAGCGCCCGGGGGTCTGCAAGGGCTCGCGCGCGCCGCCGGCGTGGCCTCGAGAGCGGGGCGCGGGCCATCTCCGGCCGCCAGCCGGTGGCGTCCTGCAGGGGGAACGTTTTTGCAGGCCCAAATTCGGCAGAACAAAACCGTGGCGCTCAACAAAGCGCGGGCCAACGTGCCCTGGCCAACGGCCAAAGTGGCCAACGGCCAACACCAAGGGCACACGCGCAAAAAGGGGGAATCACGGACACAAGCTGGGACCTGACCTCCAGCGTCCTTTCCTTGACTAATTCCCAATAGCGCCAGAAACGCTGTGCCTTAAGGGGACCGGCTCGGGGGGAGGACCATTGAGCTGGAATCGGCAATACCTCGCCGACAGCTCGGCCACTCGGGACGATCCGGGCATCTCCAGGATCGCTGTCGGCAAGGCGCAGCTGCTGAAGAGCATCCCGAGGCTGGAACATTGCAAAGTTTCGACGAGAACGCCCAACATTCTCAAACCCCAAGCCTATCCCCCCGGAGTAGGGGAGACCAACATCGAATCGATGAGTCGGATCGGCGATCGAATTGAATCGGGTCGGCGAACATCGGCAACCAAGACGGGAGAAGTCGACTCGGCGGAAACCAGCAGGCTAGTACGGCCTCAATGGAACATAACCGAAATCCACATCGACATCCGAAGACGAGTCGAATCGGAATCGGAACCGATCGACATCGCATCGAATCGAAGTGGAGTCGAAACGAGCCCTCCCCCAGCGTTGCCCCCCCAGACATGCGACGTGCTGATTTTTCCAATGCGCGGTCCCCGAAGTCCCGACCCTTTCCCCGGAGCTGGTTCTCATCCTGAGACGTTTTCTGTCGGTCCCGAGGTCTGGCGTGGGCCCCCCAGAGGCCGAACACAGCGAAAGGCCTCCCACCCCGATGTTTTCAAGACACGGGCATGCCTGCGCCCGACTTGGCGGCGCGCACAGGGGGGAGGGGGGGGGGAGGCTTCTTGGAAAGAGGCCGCTTCTTCGAAGGCGCAGGGCTCACATCTGTAGACAAGGCCGCGCCCTCTAAGAAGCAGCCTCCTTCTCAGAAGCCTTCCCCCCCGCCCCATACCCCCCTGTGCGCGCCGCCAACTTCGGGGTCGGCCACCAAGAGGGGGGGGGGGGGGGGGGGCAAATCATGGCCAGCGGCATGTGCGCGGCCCAGCGGTGGGCCAGGGAACGTATTGAAACAAGAAGAGGGGCCATGAAATCTGGGGAGACATCAGGGCCCCCGCCATGGTGCCCGCCCCACCCAATCGTCCCCCCCCCCTTCGCCGCCCCCGACAACTGACAGCCGCTGGCGTCCGTGGTGGCCATCTGCTCCCAATGGCGCTGCCGCTTCTCGGCGCCGGGGCCGCGCCCGCCCCCGATGCTGGGGAGCAGGGGCACGGAGGCCGCGGACCTGTCGGGGCCACCCAACTTCGCGCGCCGATCGGCCGCCTGTCGTTGGCGGCGCGCACCAGGTTCAGCAGGGACTGACCGTCCCGGCATTCCTATGGGCCTACCACGACATGTTCTTCGACACCCAAAGTGTTATTCATAACAAAAGCAATGTTCTTAGAACATAAACCCGATGTGTTAGAACAAAGCAGTCCCAGCCAGACATGTTCTCATACCATTTCGTGGAAACAACCGAGGGTTCTTAGAACATTGTTTGGTAGGCCTACAGGCACATCAGGACGCTTCGCCACTGCTTGACAAGGTGGTGGAGGAGGGGGGACGGCTCGTAGAAGGAGGCTGCTTCTCAGAAGGCCCCGGCCTTACATCTACAGATGAAGCCCGCGCCTTCCAAGAACCAGGGGTGCTTATAAGCAGCCTTCCCCGCCCCCTACCCCCCTCTGCGCGTGGCTGATGTCGGACCCATCATCGGTCGCTATGGGTAGCGACCGATCGGCGCTCCAAGTCGGTCGCGAGTCGATCTCGACCGATCCCCAAATCGGTCGCGGCCGGTCGCGACCGATCGCACTGGTAGCAAATGATCTCGCCGGTCGCGACTGACAAGTTCCAGTATGCAATGATCATGACTTTGCACATCACGCCCCGCGATGATCTTCGCGCAATCGCGGTGCACTCGAGTCGGTCGCAACCGATCCCCAAATCGGTCGAGAGCGGTCGCGACCGAGCGCATCGCCAGCAACTCATCTCGTCGGTCGCGACTGGAAAGATTCCAGTACACAATGACCAGGGCTTCGCGCATCGCCCCCGGCGATGATCTTCGCGCCATCGCGCCGCCCCCCAGGAGAAAGGTAGCCGCCCTGGCTATGCAGACCGCGACGCGCGGAGCGCGATGACCTTGTCGCCCCCGCGGGGGACCTAATTTTGCCGGAAGGTTCTCGGAGGCTTTTGGAGGTTCCCTCATCCCCAGGCTCTCTCGCGTCGTGAACAAACAACCACGACGGGATGTGTGTGTTTCTCCGATTTCGGCCTCTGGGGAGCCTCGCCTGGCCTCGGGATCGTCAAACACCGACTCGGGATGCAACGCTGGCCCTGGGGATAGGGTCGGGGCTTCCGGGGCCCCCGTCTTGAAAAATCAAGCCATCGGGTCTCTGGGTCCGAAAGCTTCGTATCCCCTGATCACTGGATGCCAGAGTTTTAGGCTCGCGACCGACGCGATCGATCGCTACCGACTGTGCTTCAAGTTCCAGTCTCGGTAGCGACCGATCGGTCGCGATCGGTCGTGACCAGTCGCGACCGATTTTGGAATTGGCAGCGATCGGTCGCGACCGATCTGGGATGCCGATAGCTCGCTACCGATCGCGACCGAACAAACATCTGGTGCGCATCCAGTGGTTTGGGCCTCCAGCCAGCGGATGTTTGTTTTTGACTCGGGGCGGCTCTCGGGCGTCGCTTAATGGGGGACGATCAAATGATGGAGGGGGAGAGATAGGTGCATTTCTCGGGCCCTCAAGGCCCTCTTTTGGGCCCTGGATGGCCCCTGAAGGGGCCGAAATGGGCCCCTTATCTGCAGCCCTCGCTGCCCCCCCGCTTTGTGGTCGCAACTTTTGGGTCGCAACTGCTGGGCGTCGCTACATGGGGCGCAATACATGGGAGGGGGAGAAATGTGCACTTCTCCGGCCCTGGGGGCCCTCCTTTTGGGTTCTAGAGGGCTCCTGCAGGGGCCGAAACGGGCCCTCTTTTCTGCAGCCCTCGCTGCCCCCCCCCCCCCCCCGTTCACCGCCCTGCCCTTGTACGCGACGCCCCAAAGCTTCGGACCTCTGGGAGGGTCCCAGGCCCAGACCCCCTCGCGTCTTGCAATAGGCACGGCGGCTGGGGTTCTGCCGGGCTCGGCCTCCAGGGGGGCCCTCGCGGGGGCCCCGGAGGCCGTCACAGAGCTGCCCGGGGCCTGTGATGTTCCAGCCTACTTCAGCCTCGATCGCCAGGAAAAAATCGAGCACCAGGGAAGGACCGAAACTGTAGGGTTTTCATGTGTCGGGCCCCAGAGGCCGTCACAGAGCTGCCCGGGGCCTGTGATGTTCCAGCCCACTTCAGCCTCGATCGCCAGCAGAACTTCGAGCACCAGGGCGGGACCGACACTGTTCGGGCCCGTGTCTGGCCTCCGGGGCGGCCCCACCTTGCTTCGGCAGCCGAGGCCTGACATGTCTGGGCCCAGGAGCAGCGTGACTACCTGCCAGACCACCCCAACCCAACTCGGAGAGCCGAATTTCGGGTTGGGGGGGGGACGGGCTCCATGCGTGTTTTCTCGACGTTCCCCGACCCCCCCCCCCACTGGAAATGGAGGGCAAATTGAGGCCTTCGGGTTGGGTTGGGATGGTTTGGCAGGTGAGCAGCAGAAGCGGCCCCGGGGCGGCAAGCCGCCCTGGGGGGGAGGCGTCGGTCGATGCCTGCAGGGCCTGCAAGTTGAGCAGATCACGTCGCTGGAGCAACGCCTCTAAAGGGGCCCTGGGACACACAAATCAATACACACAGATAAAAAGATTCCTCATAATTTCAATATTTTTTAGATTTGCGTCTTCCCCCCATTTCCCATATTTTCGCATATCTTCCGGGGGATCGACGATTAACTGTGTCTGTTTGTTCCCAACCCTCCTTGGTTGGGTATTCGTTTTGAATAAAGCAGTGTGGTCGCGTCCCTTCTCCCGCCCTTCCTCCTTTTCCCCTCCCGCCTCTTCCTGTCTTGCCCGCGGGGGGCTGCGATCTGTGAAACTGTCGCAATTTTCGAGGCCTGCTGGGGGGCCCAGCACAGTGAGGGCCACGCGCGGATTCAAATTAGACCTCGCCATCCCTGGGGGGCTGCGATCTGCGAAACTGTCGCCATTTTCGAGGCCTGCTGGGGGGCCCAGCACAGTGAGGGCCACGGGCGGATTCAAATTAGACCTCGCCATCCCTGGGGGGCTGCGATCTGCGAAACTGTCGCCATTTTCGAGGCCTGCTGGGGGGCCCAGCACAGTGAGGGCCACGCGCGGATTCAAATTAGACCTCGCCATCCCTGGGGGGCTGCGATCTGCGAAACTGTCGCCATTTTCGAGGCCTGCTGGGGGGCCCAGCACAGTGAGGGCCACGCGCGGATTCAAATTAGACCTCGCCATCCCTGGGGGGCTGCGATCTGCGAAACTGTCGCCATTTTCGAGGCCTGCTGGGGGGCCCAGCACAGTGAGGGCCACGCGATTCGACCTCGCCATCCCTTGCGAAATTTTCGACCTGCCTGGGGGGGCTGCGATCTGCGAAACTGTCGCCATTTTCGAGGCCTGCTGGGGGGCCCAGCACAGTGAGGGCCACGCGCGGATTCAAATTAGACCTCGCCATCCCTGGGGGGCTGCGATCTGCGAAACTGTCGCCATTTTCGAGGCCTGCTGGGGGGCCCAGCACAGTGAGGGCCACGCGCGGATTCAAATTAGACCTCGCCATCCCTGGGGGGCTGCGATCTGCGAAACTGTCGCCATTTTCGAGGCCTGCTGGGGGGCCCAGCACAGTGAGGGCCACGCGCGGATTCAAATTAGACCTCGCCATCCCTGGGGGGCTGCGATCTGCGAAACTGTCGCCATTTTCGAGGCCTGCTGGGGGGCCCAGCACAGTGAGGGCCACGCGCGGATTCAAATTAGACCTCGCCATCCCTGGGGGGCTGCGATCTGCGAAACTGTCGCCATTTTCGAGGCCTGCTGGGGGGCCCAGCACGCCAATTCTCGCAAATCGAAACTGTCGCGAGGCCTGCTGGGGGGCCCAGCACAGTGAGGGCCACGCGCGGATTCAAATTAGACCTCGCCATCCCTGGGGGGCTGCGATCTGCGAAACTGTCGCCATTTTCGAGGCCTGCTGGGGGGCCCAGCACAGTGAGGGCCACGGGCAGATTCAAATGAGACCTCGCCATCCCTGCGGGGCTGCGATCTGTGAACCTGTCGCCACTTTCGAGGCCTGCTGTGATCCCCGTTTTCGAAGTGGCTAGGAGTGCTCAGGAATTGTAAATCATCAGCTTTATCAAGCCCTTTTCCTGTAGCCAGTGTCCTGCGAGTCTCCCGAATTCCGTCTGCAGACATATGTAACCCTCGCTCCGTCATCGCCCCCTTATAAAGTATCCTAAACTATTTGCGCCCCGCTTTTGCGCAGGGGTTGGGTACGTCGCCAGGGTAATTTTCCCAACCCTCCTTGGTTGGGTATTCGTTTTGAATAGAGCAGTGTGGTCGCGTCCCTTCTCCCGCCCTTCCTCCTTTTCCCCTCCCGCCTCTTCCTGTCTTGCCCGCGGGGGGCTGCGATCTGTGAAACTGTCGCAATTTTCGAGGCCTGCTGGGGGGCCCAGCACAGTGAGGGCCACGGGCGGATCCAAATTAGACCTCGCCATCCCTGGGGGGCTGCGATCTGTGAAACTGTCGCCATTTTCGAGCCTGCTGGGGGGCCAGCACAGTGAGGGCCACGGGCGGATTCAAATTAGACCTCGCCATCCCTGGGGGGCTGCGATCTGCGAAACTGTCGCCATTTTCGAGGCCTGCTGGGGGGCCCAGCACAGTGAGGGCCACGCGCGGATTCAAATTAGACCTCGCCATCCCTGGGGGGCTGCGATCTGCGAAACTGTCGCCATTTTCGAGGCCCTGGGGGGCCCAGCACAGTGAGGGCCACGCGCGGATTCAAATTAGACCTCGCCATCCCTGGGGGGCTGCGATCTGCGAAACTGTCGCCATTTTCGAGGCCTGCTGGGGGGCCCAGCACAGTGAGGGCCACGCGCGGATTCAAATTAGACCTCGCCATCCCTGGGGGGCTGCGATCTGCGAAACTGTCGCCATTTTCGAGGCCTGCTGGGGGGCCCAGCACAGTGAGGGCCACGCGCGGATTCAAATTAGACCTCGCCATCCCTGGGGGGCTGCGATCTGCGAAACTGTCGCCATTTTCGAGGCCTGCTGGGGGGCCCAGCACAGTGAGGGCCACGCGCGGATTCAAATTAGACCTCGCCATCCCTGGGGGGCTGCGATCTGCGAAACTGTCGCCATTTTCGAGGCCTGCTGGGGGGCCCAGCACAGTGAGGGCCACGCGCGGATTCAAATTAGACCTCGCCATCCCTGGGGGGCTGCGATCTGTGAAACTGTCGCCATTTTCGAGCCCTGCTGGGGGGCCCAGCACAGTGAGGGCCACGCGCGGATTCAAATTAGACCTCGCCATCCCTGGGGGGCTGCGATCTGCGAAACTGTCGCCATTTTCGAGGCCTGCTGGGGGGCCCAGCACAGTGAGGGCCACGCGCAGATTCAAATTAGACCTCGCCATCCCTGGGGGGCTGCGATCTGCGAAACTGTCGCCATTTTCGAGGCCTGCTGGGGGGCCCAGCACAGTGAGGGCCACGCGCGGATTCAAATTAGACCTCGCCATCCCTGGGGGGCTGCGATCTGCGAAACTGCCGCCATTTTCGAGGCCTGCTGGGGGGCCCAGCACAGTGAGGGCCACGGGCAGATTCAAATGAGACCTCGCCATCCCTGCGGGGCTGCGATCTGTGAACCTGTCGCCACTTTCGAGGCCTGCTGTGATCCCCGTTTTCGAAGTGGCTAGGAGTGCTCAGGAATTGTAAATCATCAGCTTTATCAAGCCCTTTTCCTGTAGCCAGTGTCCTGCGAGTCTCCCGAATTCCGTCTGCAGACATATGTAACCCTCGCTCCGTCATCGCCCCCTTATAAAGTATCCAAAACTATTTGCGCCCCGCTTTTGCGCAGGGGTTGGGTACGTCGCCAGGGTAATTTCCCCTCCTGAGCCTTCTTCTCCACCGCACCAACCACGAATGTCTGCAGGCGAAGGTGGCAACAAAGTGCACCAGGCAAGCTCGGAGACTGGCGAAGGCTGGCCTGCCACAGGCGAGCCGACGCCCGAATCCTGGCATCGTCGGGGGAACAAGTGTTCGGCCCCTTTGGGAGATCTAGGCCTGTGGCCTCTGGGGACCTCCAGGGGCCCTCGGACCTCTCTGCAGGACCTCGGAGGACCTCCAGAAGCCCAGCGCAGGACTCGACGTCGAGGGCAGACATGGCTTTGGACGCTCCCGGGTCAATCGGTGGGCCTCTGGGGGCGCCCTTGTGGCCACGGCTGCACGAGGCTCGAAGAAGCAGCCAGGGCGCACCTAACGATGTCGGGGGTGGTTTTCCGACGGGGCCCATGCCTCCCCTGCTTGCCGACGTCGCTGCTGTCCTGACATGGTCCGCTTTTTGTTCGCGCAGGACCGTCGGCATCTCGACCCCTTCCCCTGGGGCTGGTTTTGCGTCCTTTCCGACTGTCCTGGGGCCACGCCCAGAGGCCGGGAACGTTTGGTGAAGCATACACTGGCGCGTCCACAGTCGGCGGCGAGCCCGTGGGGTACGTGAGAGGGAGAAGGCCTTCGCAGAAGGCTCGGAAGTCCCCCGGCCTTCTGAGAGGTTCTCTAAGCCTCCCCCGAAGGCACATCACACTTCTCAGAAGGCGCGAAGGCATCCGAGAAGCCCCGCCCCCTTTCCGAGAAGGCCTTCTCCTTCTCACTCCTCCTCCTCGCTCGCCGCCGATGCAAGGGTCCCAGGCCTGGGCCTCCAGGGGGGCCTGTGGCCCCGCCCCCCGAGAACCACCGGAGGCGACCCGCCGAGAGAACGAGACCCCAGACATCCGGTGGACGGCTCTTCTATCCGCTGGCCCTGGAGGTCTCGACCCCTTCCCCAGGGGGGGGGGGGCAGCCTCTGGTATGGTGGCCCAAGAACCCCCCGTGCCCGAGCAGGCACGGCAGGATGGGGGTGGGGGTGGGGGTGAGACGGGCGACCGAGGCTCGGCTGCACGCAAGAGGGAGCCCTGGGTGCGCGGCTTGCCGACCGATCGCGGTGTGCGGTGCGACAGTCGCGGCCTGCGTGCTGGGGTTTGGGCCCCCCCGCCCTCCCCGACCGCCGCGCACCAAAGGCCGGCTCGGCGAAGGGCCAATCGGTCCCCCAGGCCCCCGGCGTCGTGTTTTTTTCGCAGCCTATGGGCCACCAGAAGTCATGACCCCTGCCCCAGGACCGGCTTTCCATCCTGAGTAGCTTTTGACGGTGCCAGGGCCTTGCGAGGGCTTCCAGAGGCTGACGACGACGGCGACGGCGACGGCGACGGCGACGGCGACGGCGACGGCGACGGCGACGACGTCTCGTCGTGGCCGTCCGAACAATCCGCTGCAACGACGACGACGACGTGAGCGGGGCGAGGTGGGGACAGCGCGGCGGCTTCGGGCAGCCCCCCGACCTTCGGGCAGCGGCCGCGGGCGTGGCCCCCGCCTCGTCGGGATGGCCCAAGGCAGTCCGCTGGGGGGGGGCAGCATCTGGGGGGTGCTCCGAGGCCGGACCTCCAACGTCCTAGAGCCACCAGCAAATTCTGCAGCGCAGAAGTCTGTGTCTGCGTTGATGTGCGTGTGGGAATAGATCCTCGTGTCGGCATTGTTTGCAGAGGCGCGAACGGGGTCTGGCCATCGCTCGGACGTCCATTTCCTGTTTTTTTTTTGGTTTCGTGCTGTTTTTTTCGCCAAATGGTCGAGGATGCTCCTCGATTGTCCTCGCCGAAGGAAACATGCACGCGTCCAAGCGATGCCAGGTGGTACACAAGGCTCGAAGGCTTGGGGCACCCTCCGAGGCCCCGGATCTTGCCCCAATCGGAGAACTCCCCCCTAAACAGCCGACCGCAGCACCTCAACATGGTGGAAGTCGACCGACATTTTTTGACCAGCGCCCGTGTGCCCTCCGTATACCGTACAGCCAGACTCGACTGGACAGGACACGCGAGGGGACACAAGACCTTTCCCAGGGCCACACTGCCACCGGAATGTAGGAAGCATGGGTCGCGAGGCACAGGACTCAAGGGTACCCTTGATTTGGCAGGGTCGACCTACTAATCTAGGCCGACTTTATATGATGCGTATATGATTTGTGTATATGTTCATACAAACATATACGTACTAATATCAGTGATACTACTACTACTACTACTACTACTACTACTACTGCTACTACTACGACTACTACTACTACGACTACTACTACTACTACTACTACTACTACTACTACTACTACTACTACTACTACTACTACTACTACTGCTATACTACTACTACTACTACTACTAACTTACTACTACTACTAATAAATAATACTATTAATAATCATAATAATTACTACTACTAAATAATGTAATATATATATGTATATATATATATGTACATACATGTATTATATATATATATATATATATATATCTATATATATATATAGATATATATATGTATATTTGCATAGATTCGCTGGCCCACTGGGCCAGAGGCGTGCTATGATCTCCGGTAACTGTTTAGCAATATATTCTAGTTCGCGCGCGCGGGGAGGCTTCTGGGGGCTCCCGGACGCAAAGTACCCCGAGCAGGTCCTGGCCAGTTCGGCTCAGAGATGGTTTTCCTGCTCGGCGCTGCCTTCCAAGCCTTTCAGAACGCTCCAGGAACGCGCCAAGACGGCTCCGAGACGCCCCCGAAACGCTCCAAGGGGCCCCGAGTCGCCGAAAGTCTCCAGACGACCCTAGACGCCGCCGAGAAGCTCCAAGAGAGCCCCAAGAGGCCCACCAAGAGGCCTGAACAAGCACAGATCGTCTCATTTCCTTCGGAAGACGTGCAGTTCTGACATGGAGGACGTTCGGAGGTTCACGGTGTCTAAGACTGTTCCAGAGCCCCCAAAGATCGCCCCAGGGTTGCCCAACATGCCCCCAAGATGCGCCCAAGAGGGCCCAAGAGGGCTCCAAGACGGCCCAAGAGGGCTGCCTTCCAGGCCTCCCAGAGCGCACCAGGAACGCGCCAAGAAGGCTCCGAGACGCCCCCGAGACGCTCCAAGGGGCCCCGAATCGCCGAACGATTGCTCCAAGACGCCCATGCTGGTCTCCAGACGGCCCTAGACGCCGCCAAGAAGCCCCAAGAGACCCTCAAGAGGACCTCTAAAAGGGCCCCAACAAGCAAACATCGTCCCATTTCCTTCGGAACACCTGCAGTTCTGGCATAGACGACGTTCGGAGATTCGCAGCGCCTAAGACTGCCCGAGAGCCCCCAAAGATCGCCCCAAGATGGCCCAACATGCTTCCAAGATGCGCCCAAGAGGGCCCAACAGGACGGCCCAAGAGGGCTGCCTTCCAGGCCTCCCAGAGCGCCCCAGGAACGCGCCAATAAGGCTCCGAGACGCCCCCGAGACGCTCCAAGGGGCCCCGAGTCGCCGACCGATTGCTCCAAGACGGCCCGCCACCCTCGGACACGAGGGTTCCATCATCGTATCAAACGTCCCCTGCGCCCCATCAACAAGCCCCAGAGTGAACATCCACGACCAACAAACCCCCACGAAGGCACCCGAAATCCAACAAAGCACCACACAACTAGCCGCCCCGTGAAAAGCGACCGATCCCCCTGACAACTCCCAAGAAATCCAGACGAGTCGCACCAGCATCATGCCCCACGCAGCGCCTCAGAAAACAGCCGACGCCCCTGCAGCTCAACACCGCCAACGACCACTCGGCCAGTCGACGCAGCAGTGCCCAAAAATGGGCTGGCGGAATGAACGAAGCGATTGAACATACGTGTGTATATATATATATGTAAATATAAATATAGGTACATACTTATGTACACATGTATGTATTATGAAATTATGTGGTTGTACTAGGCTGGCGACCAGCAGAGTGCGCACCATGTTCGAAACGACTGTGCCCAAGAAATAAGCTGGTACAATATACGCGAGCTCTAGGCAGTGGTCGTGCGTGTGTGTGTGCCAAACTGTTTGGTGCGGGTCTGACTCGAACGGGGTTGCATTGATTCCAAGTCAATGTTCGCGTCCTCGCTTCTCGAGCACCCTACGCTCCAAGATGGCACGGGAAACTCCAAGATGGCACCCCAAATCTTACCAAGACGGTCCAAGAGGCTGCCGGAAGCACCCCCAACCTGTCCAATACGGTCCCAAGACGGCCCAAGAGGCCCCCTCCAGACGGCCAAAGAGGGCCCCAACAGGGCCCCAAGAGGCTCCCGAAAGGGGGAACACCAACCGACATTTCGAGCCTTCCGCCACAAGACGCCCCTCGAAGGCCCCTGGAGGCGCCCAAGGAGCTCCGAAGAGGTCCCCTACTCCACAAGCAGAGGCCCAATAGAGCCCCAATAGCATCTCAAGAGGACCCAAGGATGGCAAATTCAAAATGATTTTCCTTAAGCTCTTTCATGTTTGTCTTCGTCGTCGTCGTCGTCGCCGTCATGGTCGTCGTCGTCGTCGTCGTCGTCCCTCTTCAGGGTCGACGGCGCCAGTCGTAAGGCCTTCGCTTTCACAAAACAAAATCCAAACTATTCATATGCCTTGAGAGGGCTCCTCGGAAGGCTGGAGGGTTTCTGAGAAGCCCCACCGCCTTCTGAGAAGGCCTGCACCCTCTCTCTTCCCCCCTCGGCGCGCCGCCGATGCACACCATGGAGGTCTCGATCCATTCCCCTGGGCCGGCTTTTCATCCCGAGTCGCTCCTTGATGGCTCCAAGGCCCAGAAGAGGGCCCCCGGCAGGGGCCCAAGACAACACCGAAAACGATCCGGTGTGCTTTTCCTTCACGGCGCGAGATGGTCTGGGCCTCTCGCGTTGCCCCTGACATCCCCGCGGCCGCCCGTCGATGAACGCTGCCCTGCGAAGTAATGACCAACTCCCCGCCGATGTGTTCACGACGCGAGGTGGGCCCGGGTCACAGCAGGTGCAGCTCGGATGCTGTTTGCCCTTCGACTCAGGCAAGTTTACTTGCATGCCATGTCTGCTTTTCAAGCCTCGCTGGGCCGAAAAGGCGTGCATGTGGGCGCAAGCCGGAGTTCAGATTTCCTTTCGGGCCTTGCCACGCCCCCCCCCGTTTGGCTTTGGCGGCGCGCACAAGGGGGGCTAGGGGGGAGGGGGGAAGGCTTCTGAGGAGGCTGCTTCTTAGAAGGCGCTTGCCAGACAAGGCCCGCGCCTTCTAAGAAGCAGGGGTGCTCCCGCGAAGCCTTCCCCCGCCCCCTACCCCTCCTTCTGCGCGCGGCCGACCTTTGAAGTTGAAGGTCTCGCCCCATTGCCCAAGACGGGCTTCTTGCCCTGCGCAGTTTTATGACGGCCCCAGGGCCTGGCGAGGGCACCCAGCGGCTGAACCTTCGAGAACACCGCACGTCGAGGTTTCGCAAACCAGCGGACGTTAGGATAGCTTAGCGAACAGGAGCGTGAACTAAGAGGAAGCAGCGCACACGAGTGTAAACTCGCCAGACTCCAATCGGGGATCTTCTGACCCGGGTCAATCCAGACCCGGGTCAGCAGGAAACCAAAAACTGCAATGCAGGAACAAAAAACTGCAGCGCAGATCTTCGCAACCCCGGGTCCGCCAATAGGCGCGGCCGCCTCGCGGCCACGAGCGGCTCGCTAACCCGGTTCAGCCAGAGGGGGTCTTCGCAGGATCCTGCAGGATCCAGCGCCCTGGCTGACCCCCGTTTGCACTGACCCCCGTCTCTTAAACCCCGATCTACATGAAACAACTGCCTCCCCGGGTGTAAACTTGCCAGGCTCTAAATGGAATATCGGCGGTGGACAAGCCTCCCTTTAGTAAACCTCCCTTCAGTGACAACGGTCCGTAGCCATTTTGGCTCAAGGGGCCTGCTCCTTAACTTCCAACCTCGGGCTCAAGGTCTGGCAAGGAGTCCAGCGCCGCCCCCTCCCGAGGTGAGATCGACCCAGCTTGGGGTCATCCTCGGCGCGCCGAGGCGAACTACCCGCACTCTTCCCCGGCCGCCATGTCCTATGGTTGGAAGCGTGGGAATCAGATCACAGGAGTTACCTGCTCTCTATGCTGGTGCAAAAAGAACCCTCCTTGGTACCATACTTGCTATCATTGCTATGCTGATCTTCAGGAGTATGGGATACCAACCTACGTCCCCATGGACATCCCCCCACCTCCCGCAAAAGGTTGGGGTAAGGGTGGGGACACAGGCCGCGGAAAAACCTCGAAGGGCGGACCGAAAGGAACCCTCAAAGGTGGTAAAGGTGGCCAGAGAGGGGGAGGAGGACGTAAGGGCCCAGGAGACCTTTCAGGCGGATCCCCTCAGATTCCAGGCCTCGGCAGCGGAGGCCAGTACACGAGCTACCACCAGAACGCGCCGCAGCAACGAGGAGCTGGCGAAGGTGGTGGTGATGACTGGCCTCGTCTCCAGCATCGGCACCAAGGAGGCGGGAAGCAAGGAGGAGGACAACAGCAGCATCATCACCAGCAGCATCAGG